ATAGAAAGAAAGAAAAAAAAAAAAAAAAAAAGAGGTGTATATATCATGATTCTTAGTTTTTCTATCTAATTCTTTAGTACATTAGACTTCTATTTTCACTTTGATTTATTTATTTTGCTAAATAATAATTTTTAAATAAAAATTAAAAATATACAAAATAACAATTTATCTTAGTACATTAGGCTCCATGTAATTTTTACGTTTTTTAAAAAGTATTTTTTTAACAATTGTGTAATAATAAAAATTCAAATATTATATCATTATTTATTTTAAATATATACATTGTAAAATATATTTTGATTTAAGGTTTTACTTCTTTTATTATATAATAATTTAATTATTTATAATTTTAAATATTAATGTATTTTTTAAAAACATGATTAAAATACACATTTGATATTTCTATGATAGTCAACTTGTGATTTTGACATCTAATTTTCAATCTCATAACTTCAATATCTTAATTTTATAAAATCTATAATTTTGATCTCATCGTTAAATGTGAATATTTTATCACAATTTTGGTCCTCACCTTGTTGAGTGTTAAAATTGTAATATTGATCATAAGTAAATAATATCACAATTAATATTTATGTTAAATATTATTTTTATTCTTTACTTTTATCTCATAAAATGAATAAAAATGAAAAATAAATAAAATTGAAAATAAAAATATAATTTAACCTAAAAGATATTAAATATTAATTGATTTGTCATATTTTTAATTTAAATTTTAATCAAAATTATATTTTTAATAGCTAATAAACAGATATCTAAGAATAAGACTAAAATTATGTATTTCATAAAATTGATGACTAAAATTATAAAATTAGAAATTAGCAAGCAACAATTTTGAGTTAGATAATATAAAAAAATAAAAATTCAATTTAACCTTAAAATATAAAGTTGATCTAATCTCATGTACTTTTTGGTCTTTGATAAAATCGGATTTAATAATAATCTCATATCATATATGTTGCTTAAACTATTAAAATTAGTTGAGATAAGTAGTAATAATTTTTATTCTTTAATTTAGATGTTTAAAATTTAAATTCTAATTTTGAATATGAAATAAATTATATTGAAAACTGATTTTAAAATATCACGATTAAAAAAAATTCTAAGCTAAAATGTTAGTGTACGTACATATAGGCCATATTTGCTCTCATTGCCGCATGTTAAATCCTAAGTTCATACGCAATTGGGCTCTAATTTAGAGGGTGCCGCAAGGTCCAGGGAAAAGTTTAGCACTGAAGAATAATACGATGGCCCAAAACAAACTTGTCCTTGTGCATGTAAAGGACAGAAAACGAATGTAATTGATTGTTGATATAACATAACATGTCATAATGTGCAATACTAAAGTCAATTAATAACATCACATGATCAATTCATAATGTTATACAAAATGTAAAAAAATAATTAAAAATGAATGTAAAAATATATAAATCCAAAAGTTAAATAAAAAAATTTGCAACAATAATTATTTACTTTGACAAATGCTTTTCTTAATGAAAAATGCATTGACTGTATTATGTTTTTTCATTAAAATATAATCACAAATTACTATGTATTATGAATTTGTTATCTTTGATAATAATTATAAAAGTGTGTGTTTGTAACATTCTCTTTTAACACACCCTTTTTATTTACACCAAAAATATATAATACACTTTTTTTAGTATTTAAATTCATTAAAAAAAATTATGAAATTATAATTAGAATGTGAAGCTCATAAAATTTTATAACTTTTAACAAATTTTAACTAATAAAATATGACATTCAAAAGAATGTATTAGATAACGCGTTTTTAGAATTTTTCATAAACATATCAAAATTGGTTTTTTATAAATTATCAGTGTAAAGTCTTTTACACTGATATTATATATTCATTAAACTTTCTTATTTTAGTTTCTTATCTAAAAAAAAAAATTAACTATTAAACAACAAACTTATTTTTCTTTTATTTATATTGTTTATGAAATAAATTGTCAAAGCAATGTATTTTTTCTTCTTTTATTTTCAATTATTTAAAAGTAACATGAAAAGCAATAAAACAAAAACAAAATGAAATCATAAAAGTGCAATATACATTTTCCCTAAACAGTAATCGAGTCTAATCGTTTTTAAGAATCCCAAAGTAATCAAAACGTGCCACTTGTGCGGCCATGGCGGAAGAGTGACGATGCAAGGAAGCAACTGTGAAAGAAGTTGCCGGTAGATTGCACTCAAACCTGCGGAACATTCACGGTTTCTTTCCAAATACAAGTTCAACCATGCCAAGTGTACCCTATCTTCTCGTATAGTCATATTTCCACAATCCTACACCTTACACCCTCGCAACACTCCTCATTACACTTCTCTTTCTCACCCCATTATGTCCATGCCAAAACTTGTTACGTCACTTTTTCCAATTTTTTAATAATCATAATTACTTTTTTATTTCCACGTACGAGACTTATATATATATATGTATGGACAATTAATTTCTAGCTATGTTATTGCTGGAATTGAAATAATATCTTATACATGTCGCTATATTTTCTTTGCTGTGTCATGAGTAGACCTGTGGGACCTTCTAGTTCTGTGGCTTACTTGCTTCAGTGTTTCAAAAAAATCCCAACGTTATGAGTTCTCTATAAAAACCTGCACTACATAGCGAGTGTAGCACGCAAGCTAAGGAAAAACACACAGTCTAGCTAGAGGAGAGATTTGAGAACCCTTTTGGGAGCAAAAATGGCTCAGTGCATCTCATTCTCAACAACAGTTGAGAAAACTCACCAACGTTCGAGCATTGGAAGGAGATTCTCCTCCACGTTGAAAGAGTACAGAGGCAGGTTTTACATTCTCAGAAGATGCTTAGTCATGTTACTGTGCTGGCACGAATATGAATGATTTAATGACTTAGGAGTTCTATCTAGAAAGATATATTATATATGTGGTCCAACGTCATCATTTTAAATTTTCATAATTTTGATTAGTCTTTACTTTTTTCTTGGAGTTAATAAAATTGGATTGGACTATATGTCATTCGAAAATTATATATATGAACTATGTTGGAAATGAAGGTTGGCCTTGTCATTCACGTGGTGTATGCATGACAGCAGTACATTTAATGGCGTAGTGTAGAGTGTAGAGTAGTCGTTCTCACATGTAGTGCCTACCTTACCTGCTATCATATATTTTATGTACATGTCAATTAATCTCTCATTTCACATGGTTCCAAATTTTCAAGCTTAATGGTTACTCAGTATTGTTCAGTTACCATAACTATATGCCAGA